CTGTAATCCCAGCCCTGGGGAGGCTGAAACAGGAGGATCACTATGAGTTGAAGCTGTGTAGTGAGACCTTGTACAAAATACATAAAATTAAAAAAAAACAAACAAAAAGAAACATCCTCTAAAACTGGAAGTTTCTCATATTATCCCTCCAAGTGAACTTTATCAAGAAGAAACAAACATCATTCATTTTAGTACTGTAGTTATCAAAGTAATTCTTAGAATGCTAGTGTATCATTAAGAATTAGGCAATTTTCTGGTCATATTGTACAATGAAACCAAAGGTTAGCATTATAACCCAAAGCCATGAGTACATTTCAGTTTTCAAGAGTGGTATAAAGTATTCATTATACTATGAGTGCCTAACATAAAGAAAAAACAACTAATTTTCCTTACTGATGCTTTAGATATTTCTATTAGATGTTACAACAACTAAGAGAAGCTTCTATAAAATTCTCCACAGATATATAGCCTCTGTCATTTGGAAGCAAGCTTCCCGACCCCTTAGCTCTACCTTGACTCTGTCTGAGCGGCTGTTGAAAAGCCCGAGCCTTCTAATGGTGCTGAGGATGGGATCTGTGGAGTCATCGATCATGTTGTGAGTCGTCACGGGTGGCAGAGAATGTCGCTGAAGTGACAGAAGGAAGCAAATGTCAGTTGTGGAAGGAAATGACAAGTGTGACTGATTTCAATAACAGGGCATTAACATTGGATGCAACCTCTAGGTGAGCAACCTTTTGAGGTGACAAATGGTGATGACTGAGTTTTGTATGTGTTTCAGCAGATGATAATCACTTTGAGAGTTTTTTGCACAGACTGTGAACACATGAAGTCCTTGTTTACACCCAGCACCATGAGAGCAAAGGCTACACTTCCTGACTGCATCTGGGACTTACCCGGAATATAAAGGTAATTGGAATTTTACTCAAGATGAGCTTTTTCAGAGTCCTCCCGCGGGACTGTTTTTCAGTTCTTGGTATCCCACCACTGGGTCGAGAGTTGGGGAGCATGCCTAAAGCTTCTGTTATACTTTCCTTTTTTTTTTTTGCCATAATTCCATTCAACTGGGAACACTGATATTTTTCCTACTTTGACAAACTCTGTCTTTGGAAAAACTTAGTAGGTTTCTTGTTATTACAATGTGCAGTTTTGCAACAGGACATGTTAGTTACAAATGAATTTTGTAGGTGTCTATAGGACAAATTCCATACTTTTGAAAGATTTTTCATTTTTCTTCCCATTTTGCTATTCTTCTCAGTCGTGTTTGTGATATAGGATAAGTACATTCCTTGTGGGGAGTTGGTCCATGTACGTATCATACCCTAATCTTCATTAGTTCTTCTCCTGTCTCTCCTTCCTCTCTCCTTCCCTTTCCCTAGTCCTGCTCCTCACCTGTGCACTCTCTACTCCTTGTTTCCTATTATCTCTTTTATTTTCCTCTTGAAATGATTTTACTTTGAATTGCTCACATAAAAAGACCATATGATACTTAACCCATGTCTGATTTATTTCGCCTAGAATTTTGGTCTCAAGATGTATCCATTGTCCTATAAATGAGTTAAGTATTCTGTTTGTGGTTCAGTAATATATATATATATATATATATATATATATATATATATTCCTTTATCTAGAAAGAAGCCCACAAAGATACTCATAAAAGTCACACAGAGTCACCATTAAAGTGACCATGCTGGAGAAAAAAAAAAAAAAGCCAAGCATGGTGGCTCACGCCTGTAATCCCAGCACTTGGGAGGCTCAGGCAGGAGGATCACTGTGAGCTGGAGACGAGCTTAGGCTACAAAGTCAGCTCCAGGCCAGCCTGAACTACACAGTGAGACCCTAACTGAAAATCACAAAAAGGAAAAGTGACTATGCTAAAATGTCCTTTAACAGCTCTACAAAGTTCCCCAATTGGTGTATTAAAATATTGACAGGTTAATTTTAATAATAAGGAAAAACTGTGGGTGGTTCTTTTTACCTGAGTTGAGAAGATAGCTCTTTTCATAATTGTTAGGTCATCTCGATCCAAAATATTATTCATGTCAGGAATTTCTCCTCTAGGAAAAAAATAATATTATTAATAATAAAAAAGTTGGCAGAAATTAAGTGCTAAGTACCAGATTTACCTATATTTATCTCTATCTCTATCCATATTTATTTCTATATTTCTATATTTCATTTATTTAAAAAAGTGATTACTATTAAGTAATTACACATTAATGAAGATTTAAAATGTAAGTATCAAAAGTTACATTCATTATGTAGGTCTTGCTTTATCTAGGTCTTAACCATCCAGCAGAAAAGTATGAAAATGAAGTACGAAAAGTAAAGCCACATTAATATGCTGAGCTATAAAAAGCTCAAGTCAACAAATTTGGACACTGCCAGTCTTATGGAAAACTCACTACTATTATGGACTACTGGACTATGTTGGGATAGTCTGCTGAATTCAAGAACCTACAATATTTAAATAACAATGGAATGCCCTTCTCTGACAAAACTAACCAAAAAAGCAGGATAGAAATGAACGACCCTTTTGTATCTGTACACTCAAAATAGTTAGGATATATATACAGCTCCGTTCTCTTAATTCAATGAATAGAGAAGTTTGTTCTAATAGTATTTGTGGCAGAATATCATGTCTGAATCTTGTACAATGATTAACCACTAAGACAACAATATTCAATGTATTAATTATTGAAAATGTGCCAGTAATCATTTGTGAAACTGTCTCACTGACATTTGTTTCTCCGTAAAATTATTTAAAAAATAAAATGCAAGTATATATATTACATATGTATATTACACATATAAAATCATTTATATTTTGACTTGGTGTCTCCCTCAGCTTCAAATTGAAATTTTAATTTGCAGTGGGTCCTCTCTGACTTACAACTTATTTTCCTATTCAGAACTGTGCTCTGGTGTACAAACAACTTTTTGATATTTTTCCAATAAAAGATAAAACATTGTTTACAAGGCATATCACATCTCCAAAAGTCCTTAATTTCTTTACATTTGGCCCAAAGTAAGTACACGAGAGTAAATTATTAAGTCAGAAATAATAAGTCTTCCAAGACGCTACCTTAACAATCCATCATAGAGTTTCTTTCCAAACTTTTCCTTCATTGAATGTGCAGTGTCCCTGTTCAAAATAGAATGATTTCTAATTTTAATGGCATCATAACTTTTCATCTTCCTTTGTCATAACAATGCGGTTGTCTCATCACCCTTCTTTGAAATTCAGGTCTCTATTATAGACTTTCTTTTATACTTGCTAATTTCGCTTGAGTGAGGAAACAGGACACTCTGACCAGTACAGAGAGCTTAAATGTCTTCTGCTTGATCATAATTGAGGGGTGGCTGAAGGGAGGAAGGAACAGGAACTGCAGGTATAGATACCACACGTGTGGGAATTGGTTGATAATTTTTGATTCTAGGCTGATTATAGAGAGAGTCGTTATATATGTAGTTTAAATATGCACAATAAAATGTTTAAGACACATGCAACCCATCTTTAAAATTTCTGCAGAGGTTTGCTTCTTCCACAGTGGTTCTTTCCAAAGTTTTTCTAATAAGACCTATAATGTAATAGACCAGGTCAGCATTGGACACAGGTGTAAAACAGGGAAAGGATAAGTTCTAGGTGAAATCGCAAAGCTCATGCAATTAAAAAACAAATCCCTTTGCATTCCCTGCTGCCCAGTTCTCACAAAACCTAGGATTACCATAGCTGCTTCCGCACGGCCTGTCCTTTTAGAGTTTCCACGTTGAAATTGTTTGTCTTGGCAGGCATGATGAAAAACACCACCACGGTGACATTACTTTTATGCATCTGACAGGAGATTGGAAAACACAAGAGTCAGCTGCCTAAGATTAAAACACATGTGACACATGGACCTTAAACTTCGAAAAATACTGTTTTGAAATGTCATTAGGAAGAAACAGATACTTATTTATAATTCACAGGAAAAGTATTTCCATCTTCCCAGAAGGTTTTCAGGAGTTTTTATTTAAATCTCACTTGTTACCAAGATGTCACAGTTAATAGAGTGAAAATTCAGAAACAAAATATTTAATGGCATTGACCATCTAAAATAGGTAACAATTGCAATTGACATCACAATCCTTTTCTGTAGTTAAACAATAACTTAAAGTAAGCTCATATTACATGGCGAAAATTTTCAGATGAGAAATTTGATATGCACTTAGTTCTCGTACACTCTCATTTTTTAGTTGACTCATACTAATTTGCACAAAAGGATTGTTTACATTTGTTTCTGTTAAATATCTTGAGTTTTATTATGTTGCAGTCTAGATTTTAGGCCTTAAATAAAAAATAAGCTTTGGTATAGCAGGCTACCCTGGGCATTTTAAATATATAATTGAACCTAGGTCTCATAATAACCATGTAGACTAATACCACTCTCTTCATTTAATGAATGTTTAAAAAGGGCACAGGAGGTTTAATGTTTTATCTGAGCTCCTATGAAAGAATAGTAGTAGGGGTCCTGGGGAGATGGGTCAGTGGAATAAGCACTTCCCTAGCAAGTGCAAGGGTCTAAGTTCAATCCCCGGTTCAGCCAAAATAAAAAAAAAAAAAAAGAATAGTAGTAGGGCTGGCCAGATAGCTCAACAGAATAAAGCACCTGCCTAGGCACACGCAGCGGCCAGGATTCTATCCCTGGCGTGCTGTGCCAGCCCTGCCCCTGGGGCGTCCTGAGAAGGTGATTGAGACTGGGCGTGGTGGTGCACACCTGCAATCCCAGCACTTGGGAGGCTGACAACAGAAGTGTGATCTATGTGGCGAGACCCTGTAGACCCTACAGACCATGTACTAAACGCATTTAAAAAAAAAAAAAAAAGAATAGTAGCAAAACTACTACTAGTAAATTTTTAAATCTAATATCTGTGAGTTCTTTTCTTCTTCCTACACTAGTATGTGGGAATAGTATTTAGCCTGGTCCCTTTCCAAAGGAAATGATGTATTAGACAGCTTTGGAAATAAAAGCATACATTTATTTATAACTGCAAACATATAAATATCTATATATTGTAGATTGCCTTCTCTCCTGAGCATGGATACTTCACTATCAAGCACACTCAGGAAATCTACAAAAGTCACAGGCTAGGAAATCCACCCCAGGAATGGTACACATACTATCAAAGAATAAATGTGCTACATGAAAAAAGAATGCTTGCTTTTAGCTTTTCTAAGCAACGTAATTACTTTTGGTGTCTAGCATAAAAGCAAAGGGATTTTTAGAAAGGTATATGTAATAATTGTAAGAATAGATCTATTGATAATGTTTCTGAATATGTTATATGTATGATGTCAGTATGAGTTCATTGATAAAGCTTATTGAATAAGCACATACTAGGAAATATGAAATGAGATTATAACAATAATTTTGTTGCTTGCAGTTCTATATTGCAGATGTTTTTAAATTAAGGTACTGCTTCCTTAATGTAGTTCAAGTAAATATTTCAGCGTATTTGGTACAGTGTGTGCTCGAAGGCAAGGATAAATCTTTGCTCAAGGGGAAAACAAAACAAAACAGAACACATTAGAGGAGAGTACAGAGCTCAGTACAGAGACAGTTCAGATAGTCTCAGTGTCTTAATAATACAGACATTTTGGGCTGGAGGGATGACTCGGCCATCTAAGCGCCTGCCTGGCAAGTGCAAGTACCCGAATTAGAGCACCGGTACTGCATGCTGTGAACCCTGGGCATGTCCTGTCACTTGAAACCGAGCATTTAGCACATGCCTATAATCCCAGCACTGGTAGGGCTGAGACTGGAAGATCATGAGACCCTGTATCAAATAAATAAATATAAAAAAAGTTTAAAAGGTGAAAATTTTATAGTCTTCTCCTGTGGGTAGTTCATGTTATTTATTCTGTATTTTCAAGTGATAAGATTGGAATATAAACTACTCATTGTCATGAACAACTATGGTGTGGCACCTTTTTTTGTTGTTTTTGGCGGAACCAAGGATTGAACTCAGGTCCTGGTACTTGCCAGGGAAGCGCTTATTCTACTAAGCCATCTCCCCAGCTCCAAGGCCCCTTTTTTATAGTAGTCTCTGGTAAATTTAATTACTGAATTGACTGAGAATCTATTTTAAGGTTCACCTTCCTGAGCAAAGCCTGGGTGCACACTGCTGGGAGTAAGGACCTTTTTTCCCTCCTTCATGTATCCAGGCACTGTAGTGACATGTGTCCTAGATTAACAGTCCAACACAGCTAAACTGGAGGGTAGGCCTGGCTGGTACGTTAGGAAGGAACTGAGTTTGCAAACTTCATCCCATTTTCATTTTCTGTCTCGAATCTGAACATTCTGTGAGCCCTTCCTCTAGTGCTTGGCCCCCAGCATGCAGTGTGTACCCCTCTGCAAGCCCTGTTTCTCTTGGGGCAGCAAGGCCATGATTGCAGCTTTTGTTGTTAGATGGCTAGCTGTGATACCAAGGGTCAGAATTAGGATACCCAGTTTTACATACTCAAGTGACATCTTTTATTGCTACTGAGTTACATCCAAGTTACAGCTTCACTCGCTTAACAAAAATGAGTGACATTTTGCTCATCATTTGCTTGATTTCTCTGTATTTATCCTGCCAGGGATTGCAAAATCTAACAGAAAAGCAATGTTAAAGTGCCTTGTGAAGACATAGTACATCTAGTGAGAGGGTCTCTTTTTTTTTAAAAAAAAATTGACTATTGGACAAATTACACAGTGAACACTGTAATATTCTAGTCTGTATATTGCAAGAGCAGAGGCATTTTCGAGCTAAGGTTATCATTCTAATCTTCAAAATCATAGTTTTCTGGAAAACTATTTAAGGAGCCAGAAAGCCCTTCTGTTCCTGCAGAAGAAAGTTGTCCTTATAAGAGCATTATCCATTCTTACCCTCAGTAAGAAGTTTAGTCTGGATAAAGATTCTAGGAAGATGTCCGCTCCTTTGTTTGAAAACTCATACCTCCCCGCAATGAAAAGGAATAAAGTCTTTTCGAGATCAAAGTCAAGATGACTAAAATAAAACAAAAACAATTTTGAATGGAATACAGCAACACAACAAGCTGCACTGATGAATTCTGTCAGGGTACAAAGGGAGATAAGAAAGAGAAACATTTACCCAGTGATTCTGTTTGTTCTCTGAGAGATCACGTGCTAATTTTGTTTTTTAAATAAAAAAAAGCATACCCATAGAAATGACCTCGAACAAAATCTTGGATCCTGGCCTTGTACATAGCATGCAGATTTTGAAATTCATGCACTGCTGAAAACTTCTTCACGTTCAAGCCATTTGGAGTAACTACATCTGGGGAAACACCAACGACAACAAAATCACCAAAATTCTCCCGAGAGAAGGGGCACCATTGTAGGAGGAAAAGTATTTTAAAATCTATTAAACGTCTACTAACATTTGTAGTTCGTGACTACCATGCAATCTAAGTTTCAGAAAACTTCAGAATTCAACATTTTAGTGGAAATAGAAAATTAGGGGTGCTTGATCTAAATTATAATGAGTGATATAAATTTCCATTTCTTTTTCTTTCTTTCTCTTGAAAATTGGTTATACAGATTAATTGGTTTAATTTTAGCACATTTGTACATGCACTTAGTACACATCGACCATTCCCTCTCCACCCTCCTCAGGCCTTACAGCCTTCCTCTCTAATTTCACATGGGTCTAGGGGTGACACATATGTTTTGCTCAGACCCATATCCTCTGTTATCTTCCTTTATAGTTTATTAGTTCTAATTTCTTCTAACACAACTGATTCGTTCAGTTGTAGAACCCAAAGCATTTTGTTCTTCCAAATGGAAAACATTCTTGATTTTCCATTATATAGATCTAGAACAGAAAAGAGGGCTTACTCAGAGCAGGTGATGAAAACACTTACACCTTGGATTACATGGGTTGGATTACATTTAGAAGCAGTGAAAGCAAAAGCAAGAAACACAAAGGAATATAAAAAAATCTGGCACATGACAGTGGAGATTTTTCAATGAAGATCTGAACTATAGTCATATTACATTCTATTGACGAATCTTTTACAATTAAAAGATTCTATTTCATCCAGTTGTGTTGATGCACACCTGTATTCTCAGCATCCTGGCCGGGTCTCCAAACAAAAGAATAAAAAAGAGCTGAGGTTGCAGCTCAACACAAAGGCTTTGGGTTCAATGACTTGTACTGTCAAAATTAAAAAAGGAAAATGCCTAGTCCCTTGACATGGTTTGATAAAATCAACTGACTTTTTTTAAAGACAGAAAAAAAAAATGCTAAAAAAGAAAGACAAATGATAAAAATTATCACTAAACGAATAATAGGAATTCAACCATGACTGTTATATTGTATAACGTTGTCTTCAAATTAGTTATTTAGATTACCAGATATAAGCATCCAAAATGTTTAAAAACATTTTTAAAGTTATAAGAAATTAAAAAAGAGAAGAATATTTGTGAACTAAGCAACTTCATTGTGGACAGCAATGTGTAATACTAAAATCATGCTTAAAATACCTGTCATTTGGTCTTCTAAATGCGTACTGCTTCTAATGTCATATAAATAAATGCTATACTTGCTTTAAAGAAAATGTTCGTTTAAAGAAAAGGAATAAAAGTAAATGAGAGACAAGGAAAACAAAACGTCATAGGATTGTCCTGCTAAAATGTTGCATATGGTTTGCTTTCTAAATTTCTTTGTCAAAAATGTGTAATTGTTTTTTAATATTCTATAGGGATTTAAATTTTAGATTATCCATGATTATTGGAAAATAGTAGTTCCATTTTATGTCTAAGGTGTTTGATATTCAGACAGATAGTGATGTTAAGCTTAACTGCCTCTGTTGCAGGGCAATAATAGCATTAAGCTTCTCTTTTGGAT